CACAACAAACAAACAAACCACGCAGCAAACAAATTACACACAAAAACCCACCACCGTACACTTCAAACACACCAACAAACACACTATACAACAAACACGCCATCAACACGTCACTCATAACATCAACAAACACATTAAAAATATCATTGGTTTCGTCATTAAAATATCGTTAACATTACAAACAAATTTTCGCAATCGTCAACATTAAAATTTACTAAAACAACAACATCAAAAACAACAACAGCCACACCAAAAACAACACCAAAAACAACAACAACCATAACAATTGCAACAACAACTTACAAACAGAGCAAAATTACGAAAAATCCGATTTTAAATAAAATTGTCATCACACACAAACACATACACACACGCAGACACACACGCAGAAGAGCGTACATCGAAACACTAATTGGTCTCATTACATTAATGGACTGGTCAGTTTTCACATACAATATACAAAACATTGATGTGTTGTAATGTTATCAATTGTAATGTGATGATGGTGGGTCTATAATGCAGTGGTAATATATTTTAAAATGAAAAAAGGATATAATGTAGTGCTGATGTGATTTGATGTGATGTGAGGACGACGGAAGGTGATGTAATAACGGAACGGTGCATCAAACAGACTACTTGTAATGATCGTAACCCGATACCTCAATTAATTCATCAAAACAGCTACACACACACACGCACGCACGGACAACATACATTAACTCAAACTTAAGAACATAGTTAAAAAAGATACTTACACACATATACAAATATACACACATACACACACGCAAACATGCAAACACATACTCACTCACAACACAACGCACGCAATATACAACACACTAACTCCCACATTCATAACGACACTCAGTCAAATAAAAAATGCACACATTCACTTACACACGCACACACAGACACTCATACACATACACACACACACACACACACACACATATATATATATATATTTGTATTAATTTTATTATTAATTTGAATGAATTGAATAATATCGATAAAATAATTTCTCGAAAAATTGAAAAACTTATTTACAAACTCAGCAATGCGGAAAATGCGGTGATATTTCTTAATAACTGTATATACAACAGTTTGCTGAACCAAAAAGATATATATATATATATATATATAAACACACACACACACACACACACACACACACACACACACACACACAAGCGCATTTATAATCCGGTGTTGTTCATCAATCTAATTGATAGCGACGTTGGTGATTTATTTATTTACGAGAATACGTATATATATATATATATACGTATATATATATACATATATAAAATATATATATACACACATATATATATATGTGTATGTATTATATATAACCGACTGGCTGACTAGCTGGTGACGGTTAAGTGATAAAATAATTGGTTTTA